AGCTGGAACAAAAGTCTAAAAGACAATAAAGATGGGAAGTCTGTTTTGACATGAATAAATAAATGGAGGACAGAAAATGAAAAGAAAGATGTGGGCAAAAGCAGAATTGTGGAATTTTGAAAGTTATTTGAAAGAAAACCATTCCAGTGTGATAGCAGACAGTTGGGCAGTGTTAGATGTTGGGAGGGGGAGTTTAATCGAAACAGCTGCAAAGGAAAATAATCTTGGCAGCAGAGTTTTGAACGGACTTAAAAAGGGAGATTGTTCTAGGAACAGAAAAAACTGTCAGTACTAAAGAGTCCTGGCCTGGGACAACAGACCTACTGTCGGATCTGCGTGTTCAGCTCTATGTGTCTTGGTTATCCTGGGGGATGTCATCTCCTGTACCCTGTGGCCCAGGTCTCATCTGTTAAAGCTTACTGATTCAGAGATCCTAAAGAGGAAATGTGTGGTGACTGACCATTTCAGTTATGATAATGAGGAAACTTAGAAACATTCCTAGGTATTATTTAATAGCAAGAACAGGAATACAGAATATAACAAAAGAATCATGTGAAATATATCAAGGAGACTCTTAATAGATTACATTTCTTAGATTACTGTTTTTTCAGGTACATAGTTATTTAGTAGCTTTTTCTGTGTGAAACAGTGTTTACTTTCTTCCCCAAGTGCTTTGAATCTTTGAGTCCCTACATGCACAGTGAGCTGGAACCATTATGAGTGGTTGTCTGGTTGAGGCTGTGAATGGTTTCCAGAATCCTTGCAAAGGATGGGGAGGGCAGCCATTGTCTGTGGGCAAGTAGGTGGGATGGTTGAAGCTGGTAACTTACAGATAGGCTATAGGGCTGGTATGAGGTATAGACCAGAAGAAAGTTTGATAAAAGTATGTAGCAGAATTCTCCTCCGTGCTGTTGAGGATAAGGGTTGTATTCTCAAACCTACACTGGAGAATATCTAGTGATCTAAGCCCCTTTATAAAAGGACAGAAACACTTTGATTGTAGATCATTCAAGATGAAAGAGAAGGACTGTCCTCAGCTGAGCACAAGGCCAAGAAATGCAGCAGTGCAGACAATTGCAGAACCAGTGGTGTTCTGACTTGCTCACAGTCAAAGGCTGGATCATTCTGCCAAACTGCTCTGGCTACCAGAACTTGCAGCATCCTGTGACAGATGTCATTTTCAGGCTATTTTGTGTAGGCTTAAAAACAGTCCATAGTCTCATAGGTTAGACTTTAACAATGTAAGAGCTGCCTACATCCGACTGAAGTTGAACAGAATTTGGGCAGTAATCTCATTAAGTTTCTTTTCTCTAGAGCATATATGCAGATGGTGGCTCTTTGGAGGAAAAAGCTGTGTCTTCCTGTATCTTCCCTAATTAAATAAATGAATTAAAAAGCCCAGTGTGCTAGTAATTTTTTTTTTATTACATACATGTGCCATATGCAAACTCAAATGTGAGTTGGTGTGGGACTAAAAACAGTGGATTCCAGAGTTAAAATTAGAAACATTTGTTGTTTGAACAATAGACTGTTTCAAAGATCCTTCTCTGTATTCTGGTACCTTGTTTGTGCCTTATTATTTGTGTTTTCAGATTAAAAGCTCTTTCCCCCTTATTTTGTACTATTAGGATGTATGGGAACAGCTTAAATGTTTTTCTGAATTAACTTTATATAGTTCACCTGTAGACTCTGTCAAGAAGCTCTGGTTTCAGTGCTGGCCAACACTATCCCTAGTACATCTTTTAATGCTGCCTTTAAATCTAACTGTTCCAGAGGATAATCCTAGCATTAGGATGATGGAGACTGTAATTTGGAGTCAGATGAAACAGAAGATTTTTCTGGCACCAAATAATTTGTCTTTAACAAGGCATACTAAAAAATTTAAGTCTTAGATTAAAGCGTCTTTCCTTCATTGCTACTAACTCTAAAATCAATATGGTAATCCACTGAGAACATGCCTGAGTCAGACATTCCTGTTCAGTGTGATTCTATCTTCTTTTATATGCCTTATTCATATAATATACATTGCATAGGATATGGTAGGTACCTCTTGTCATCATAATCTTAAACACTATAGAAAAAGCACTGCTGCCAAATTTGTGTCTCACTTTCCCATAAGAAAGTAGACACATGTCAATTTGTTCATAAGGGGATATATTTTAAAATATAATTGGGAAACTAAATTTTAATACAAGACGATTTCAGTATTCTCCATAAAAAGGTTTGAACAGCTTTTGACTGTTCCTGTTTTCTTCTAATAGCAATATACCAGGAAAACAAAACCAAAACCAGCCAAGCCTTCTGGGGTTTCAAGGAAAGTGTTGGCAGCAGAGGTCTTATGTCACGCCAAACACCTTTTCTCTCTGCAGTTCAGAGGCAAAGTACCTCCTCCGTGTGACCCCGTGTGCAAGATCATAGACTGGATTCTTGCTGTTTGGCACCAGTTGAACTCCTGCTTATCACGTCTAGGAGCACCCGAAGCACTTATGGGGCCAAAGCATTTCTTCTCTTGTCCTGTGGTGCCAGGACATGGCCAAGCGACAGTGAAGTAAGACTTCTGTTTCCTATTTGACACTTCTCAGTGCCAACCAGATAGTTATTACAAATGTAGTAGTTGTGTTTCTCCCAAAACCCATCTGACTCAGCAGCCTTGAAAGCATTTTAGCAGATGTTATTGAAGTTTTAAATTCTTGTTTGATATTTAATTACTAGAAGGGCAATTCTGAAGGACATGAGTGTGAACTGGGGGTCTAACACTGGTTGAAAGTCAGTCTCCTGAGATCTTTTCTGAGTTATTTTCTGACACATAGGTTGCAATATATTTCTTGTCCTAGAATGGCTAATATTGCTCAACTCTTTAAAGGTTTTGTTCTTCATTTCAAGACTGCACTGTAAAGAAAGTGCTAAGTTCATTAGTGAACAGACCAAAATAAGATTCAGGAATTCCAAGCTTGAAAGTTGGTGAAGTTTCCGTTTGAATTTTATATGAGGAAAATTTGGAGAATGATTTCTCACTCTTTTAGATATCTGGTATCATTTTTAAACATACATAAAATGTCAAGTCTAAATGTGGACGTAGCATTGACTTAAAATTCTATGGCTGTGAAATAAAAAAAAGATAATAAAGTATACCATACAACAATCTCCTGCCTCCCTTTTGAATCCTGTCCTCTGAAATATATTAATCATTTATTTCTTGCAATGGCATTAGTAGAGGACAGAAAAACTATTATTTAGATAACTTAATTATGCATTTCTGAGTTTGGGTTTCTCCGAAGTGTAACTTTGACTGGATTCACAATGCTTTATTTTGAGCACAACCCCAAAATGTCTTTTATAGTAGCAATACGCCATCTGACTCCTCACTTTAATGCAGCTTTTGTCCACTAATAAACAATTAAAATGCACAGCTCCAGTGAGCACTTACTGGACCCTTTTAGTTTAACAGCATGATGGCTGACAGTGTGGTCATATAACTAGCAATAAATAGCTTTAATTAGCAGCTCACTGGTTGCTGTTATTTCAATCTAATGAACTACTCCTGTCCTCTTGCCCCTCCTCTCCGCTGTGCTGTTCTGCTGCTTTCTGCATTTATTAAAGCTTCCCTGAGTCAGTTCAATTCATTAAGACAGCAGCCAGCTCTCTACAAACTGGGCTTGTCCTGGGCTAAGAGTTAGCACGGGGGAAGCGGTCAGAGCTGGCAGCTGGGAAGGGAGAGCAGGCGTGACGGGACGCTGCTCCCTGCTGTGGGCTGTTTCATGAGGCTTCACATCTTCTGGAGAGCAGAGGGAATAAATCAGGAACATTTTAGCTACATTTTTTTCTTGTTTTTGATCAGGAAAGAGTTTCACTTTTTAGCTCTTTTTCAGGGGCAGGGGGCTGCTATACCTTTCCAAAGTATCAGCTGTATCAAAGAACTGGGGACTTGATCAAGTTGAGCACAAACGTAAGACAAGACTGAATTTAAACACCAGGTTGGGATTGTATTTCAAGAGGATGGCATTGCACAGCCCATCAGTTGTTAACTGTTAGATTAGAATGGACTCAATTAATTTCATCTTTGCAGCATTCATCTCTGACCATTTATACTACAGCAGTATTGCAAAATGTCTAAAGCTTACATAGGCAGAAATGGAAAGATAGAGTTCTTTACTACTAAAATGAAAGCAATTATTTATTTTGGTAGCTTAACTCAGCTAGCAGAAGCAGACTGTATCTGTATGGAATTGTATCTACAACATTATGCTGAGGAATCTTCAAGGAATATCTCCAATATGCATTTTACATGTTATTTTAACTATAACTGGAGACTGTTACCATAACTTTTATCAAGCTTATACCAGCACATTGTAGCATGGTTATAGATCATAAAAACTCAACCTTATGCTTCATAACTAACCAAAAATAGATCTATCAAATGATTCATGCATTCTAACTTTAAAAAACAAACAAGCAAAACCCCAACCAAACAGGAGGGGAAAGAAAAAAAAAAAGCTTGTCATAATCTTTTGGGTAATAAGATGACTTCTCTGTATCAACACATCCAACAACGTGGTTCGTTTAAGTCACACTGACGTTTTAGCCTTCACTTTTCTGCAAAGCTGAAAAACAACATTATAGCCTATCATTTCTTGCAGATCTTTAATATAACCCTCTGAGTCTCAGTCTTACCATCCTCTCACATAAGAGGGTATAAGGAAAAGAGTTTAATTTGATCTAAAAATGATTCTCTCAGTGTCTGTTAGAGATGTGAGCTGAGCCCTGCACCTGAAACTCCTGGCCTTTATTCCTTGAGAATTATAAGCTGTAAGAAATAGCATTCATTTATTTCTAATACAAATTTTTCACTTCTGTGCTAATGCAATAAAATATTTCTCTCTTAAAAAAATCAGAAGTCCGAGAAGAACCATGTCCCTTTGAATCAATTTTTTGTAATCAAATGCGGTCTCTAAAGTAGACAATCTGGAAAAACCACAGCATCCTGGAAACGCTGTTCACCAGAGATCAAATAAACAAAAGGATGGGGAGAGCAAGGCAGCTGTATGAATAGAAAGATCTTGTAAACTGGGCAAGTTTGGAAACAGAGGAGTACTGGGAAGGGTGCAATCATAACTGAATGCCTCCTTTTTCCCATGCTGGCAGCAAATGGGCTATGGGTGAACACCTGCAAGCACGGAAACTTCTCCATGCACTGGCAAAGGGGAAAGGGGATTTTTTTCATATATAAGTGAACACGCATCTTTCAGGGACGTTTTTTCTTTTAGCCTTAAAATGAAAAGGATGTCTTATAGTTCTAATGCAAAGAAGGAAGAGCATCAGATGGTAAATAGTTTGCCAAAGCAACCTGAAGAAAGTTAGGTCAAATAATTTAATGTAAAACAAACAAATAAGTCCTACCTTAAATAAAATAAGTTCCTCTCTGAAATGGGGTTCAATACAAAATCCCAAATATATATGATGTTTCCTAAAAATACAAAATCTGCTATGTTACCCAAAGTATAAAATCTTGGGTTTTGATAATTGTCTCCAAAGTGAAGGGGTTGTTTGTGTGCCTACAGGTGGATGTCCAAGCTATGGAATGCTGTAATAGCTCCCCGAGTTCAAGAAGCAATACTCTCCAGAGCCTCTGTGAAAAGACCATCTGTACCAGGACAAGCTGCAGCCAAAAAAAATCCTAGCCAAGGTCAACAGGCTGTTGTTAAAGCTGCTCTCAGTATCTTGCTAAATAAAGCTGTTTTGCATGGCTGTCCTCTACCCAGAACAGGTAACAGTGAACAGTCTGAAATGCAAGTAGTTGTACATTGCCAAAGTGGGGGCTTTAACTGTTTAATTCCTTTTTTAAAACGTCCACAAAACAGAGCTGTAGTTATGATGGGAGGTGTGTGGTTAAAAGCATTCGCAGTCACTGAGCTAAGTAGCTGTATAAGGTGTAAGTATATACAGTTTATACAGCTGTATAAGCTGTATAAAGAACCATTTGCAACAGTCAGTTCTTCTTAACATTGTCCTACTTTTGTTTCAGAGCTAGATAATTATATAGCAGATTTCAAGGGAGGAAATTTTCCTTTGTCCGTGGTCTCGAGCTACAGAAATTGTAGTAAGAAAAGAGGTGAGAATGCTTCTTGGAGAAAAGTGAGCACAAGTCCTCGCAAAAAGTCAGGCCATTTATCCTCCCAGTCATGGAATAAGCAGGAGACAAATACTGAAGGTAAAGCTTTCTAATTTCAATTCTTAAAGAAAGTGTGGGGGTTTAAACTGCACAGATACGATGCTAACTTTTCTTCTCTATCATCAATTTAAAAATCTCAATTGAATTACATTGATGTTTATGCTTGCAAGTGAAAAATCCTTTACTTTTTTCCCCCACAAATTATTTCTTTGTGGCTGTGAGGTATCCTAAGTAATTTCTGCTGTTGTTTGTTTCTTGTAATGCCCTTCCTGGTGTCTGATAATGGCGAAGGCTTTGGCTCAGATGGTGGAAGACTGGGCAGTGGTGCCACCTCATTCTGCATCGAATGGTGCTCTGTCACTCTCTTCTTCAGTACCAGATTAGAGAAAGCTTCATTACTTGACTGGTTACTCCTTAGTTCTGCACCTAATTTACAGCACACCCACTTTTGGGTTTTTTTTTTGAACATGTACTTTATAGTCTCACTGCAATAACTTCTGTTGTCTGAATCCAAGTAAAAATATATGGGTACATGCATCCTCGGATCATGCATCCCTTGTTCAATCTTATTAGATAAATTGAGTAGAATAATCTAGAAGCTCAGTAGTGGAAGGAAAATATATTCAGGTTTAAATTGAAGATTTTTGTTTGATTTTGACTTTAACTGCAAAAAATAAATGTAAAGAATTCTGTGTAATGTCTGAGTGTGTGCAGAAGCAGTGTATCATTCTTCTATAAGTATGCATCTGTCTAGAAGGAAAGCTTAGGAGTAGCATAACTGATTACAATTTCAAACAGGAAAACTCCTAGAGGACAAAATCAGATTACTTCTTTGCTTTCAGAAAATGAAGGTAACCCCTTCAGAGAGAAGAGTTAGGAAGGAATTGGAGAGAAAGAGGCTTACACACACACTAGTAAGATTCAAGCCTCAACTACCTCATATATATA